AGATGGGGTTTCACCTTATTGGTCAGGCTGGTCTCGAACTCCTGACCTCAGGTGATCCGCCCAACTCAGCCTCCCAAAATGCTGGGATTACAGGTGTGAGCCACCGTGCCTGGCCATAATATCTCTTAAACAATGGGATTCAGAGATCTTCCAGGGTAGTGAACAAATCAAGGTGCTGGAAGGGTGTTAAATACCAAGAGGAGATGGAACCCCCTTCCTTCTATGCCTTGCCCTATGCATCTCTTGCATTTGGCTATTCCTAAATTGTATCTTTATAGTAAACTGGTAAGCTTTATAGTAAATTGGTATAATTCCTAAACTGTATCTTTATAGTAAAGTGTTTCCAAGAGGTTTTTGACCTATTGTAGCAAATTAGTGAATCTGAAAATGAGGGGAGTTATTGGAACCAACTGATTTTGTAGTCAAGTAGGACAGAATTTTGAATAGCCTGGGGATCTGGTACTTGGGACTGGCATATGATGTGAAGGCAATCTTGTGGACTGAGCCCTTAAATCTGTGGAGTCTGGTGCTAATTCCTGGTAGGTAGTGTCAGAATTCAATTGAAATAAAAAGAAGGACATTGGGTATCTGGAGAGTTGGAGAATTGATTGGTCTGAGTAAAAAAACCCCACACGGCATCAGAAGGGTGAGTAAAAAAACTCTATCTATTGTCACCGTATTGATAAGTACCAGAGCCAGAATTCAAAGGTTTGAATTTTCAATCTAGTACTTTGTATTAACTTGAAGCCCTATAGGATACAAAACATTTTGTGATGTAAATTATTTCCCCACAACAAATTATCCAAGTAATTAAAAGCAATACTGTTATTTGGTTATGAATGAATTTTCTGGTGAATTTTTTCTACTTTTTTGTTATGAGAAAATATGAAAATATCAAACCATCACACAAAATATAAGGATACGTAAACTCAAAGTGATTTACTCAAACACTTTAACACAGCACCCAAACTCTGACTACATGTTCTTACAAAGAAAGCAAAACACAGCGCACCTCTGTAGGAGATGGCTTCCTTCCCAATTGTATGTTTTCAGTTAGTCATAGCATAAAAGAAATACAAAGCTTGGCCAAAGAATCATTGCCCTGTAGAAGCCAGAAGTTAAATAAATTGTGTAAGGATGACTTTATTTCTGCAGCTGAAGTTACCCTCTCAATACAACTCGATTTTGATTGTTTTAAAAGGCAAAACTATTTTATTTATAACCCTAATTATAATAATATCAAAAGTTCATGTATCATTGTTTTTATATAGAAGAATAGAAAAAAATTACTTCTTAAAATTGCATTTTCATATACTAGAGCAGCAGTTGTCAAAGTCTGAAAGTATAGTCTACTGTCCAACAACAATATCTGAATCACCTGGGGCCTTGTTAGAAATACAGATTCTCAAGACCCATTGCAGCTTTACTGAATCAGAAACTCTAGGGGTGGGGTCAAGCAATCTGTGTTTCAATAAGCCCTCTGGTTGATTCTGATGCAGGCTAAAGTTTGAAAACCATTGTACTATTATCATAAGAAGGCCAGTAATTATTTAGTAGATGCAGAGCAAAAGTACGTTAATGGTATGTTAATAAGGTAGTATATACAATAGTAAACTGATTTGAAATAGAAAGACATAGTAAATATTAAGTTGAAACTGAGGCAAGAAACACTTTTGGGGTTTGGGGACGTAAAGGAAACAATGTCACTAGTGGTAATGTAATTTTATGTATGACTCTGAGGTGACAACTGAGGTTTATGGCTTTCTTGAGAAAATACTTCCTCCCCATATTATTTAACAGTGCTTATCCTTTATTATTTCCCTAATTTTTCTTCCTGTATATACAGAAGTTGAAAGTGATGCTTGTGGTCTTAAGCCTAGATACTAATTCAACTTTTAGCCTCATTACATTCTGCATTTAAATGCTATTCACATTTATAACCATAGAAAATATATCCCTTTTCAACAACAGTACTGTAAAAACAGTATATTCTATTGCAGTCATCTTACTGTAATTTTAGACAAATGACAAGGGTACCTTAAGAAAAGAACTGTACTGACAAACCACATCAGACCAGACGCCATGCTAACCATCAGAATTCTGCTATCACCTCCTTTGGAAATGTGCCTGAAATTATGCTGACATCAAGAAAATGACAGATTACCTCTGGACCAGTTCAATCTTCCTCATATTGTATAATTTCTAGTTTAAGCCCAAAGAAAAAAAGTCAAGAAACATTTTCATAATTCATCCACAGCAAAATTTTCACATTAGAACCACAAGTCACTTGTTCTGCCTAGCAAAATTATAAAAATAATATAAAAATAGTAAAAAGGATTAAAAATATGATTAGTTTAATCCTTTGAATATGAAAAGGCATGTACTATCTCACCTCTGGAGTGACATCTCGTGGTGCAAACCCCGTTCCTCCAGTTGTTAATATCAAATTCAGTTCCTTTTCATCACACCAATCTATCAGGGTTTCCTGAAAGAAAACAATAGTATAGTCATGAGCAGAAGAACTTGCCTTCTTGCTCAAAACATCCCATTCCTCAGACACTTTGTATACAACAAGGAAACACAGATTCTTTTCAATAGTCAGAAAGAAAATTTTGAAGCACAATTCATGGAACATTTTCACTGTCGATCAAAAGGCACTGAAATTATGAGTATTTATTTTGTTAATTACAGAAAATGAGGATGCAAGTATTAAATTTGTGAAAGTAAATAAAACACAAGAAAAACCATAAATGAAGAGTTTATAATTAATGGCTTATTGGAAGTTCTTTTCAGCCATTCAAAATACACTACTATGACAGTTATAGAGATTAGAATTATATGTCATAAGATTTTGGAGCTGGCAGGGTCATTAGCAGATTTGCCTCTGTATTTTCTGAGACAACTGAAGTGCAATCTGCTTAAATAATTTGCAAAGTTACACAGCTAGTTTGTAACAAAGTGAAACTAGGATCTCCATCTGCTGATTTTTTTCCATTTTTGCTAATTCTATTAACCCATTCTACATTTTAGCTATTTGCTGAAAAGGGCAATTAAATGCTTATTAAATTACAATCATACACTTGCATTGGTATTATATTGTTTCATTATGTTTTTACAATTCAGAGTCAAAATTTAAAAATATAATTTCATCATTTAATTGCCGATAACTGGTGTGAAATACAAATAGCAGGCTGATACTGAGATGTACAATACAATCCCCTCAGTTCTCAAATTCATCAGTGGACACAAAATGTAGGATTATTTAGAATAAATCCAAGATCTAAAAATGATTTTTTCCCTTTCTTTGCAGATTTGTGTTTTATTCTGGTATCACAGAAATGCAGAGCTCAGAGCTCCAAATGAAGGGAATTTTTCTGTGCAATGATTAATTAATGACAACAAACTATTTTTAAAAATGTAAATTGTAGATTACTGAGAGCCCACCTAATGAATTTGAATCCCTGATATAGTTATAATTTTGTTCTGAGGATAGCCCCTAAAAAAAATCAACAATTATTATAATAAAGGTGCTTATAAAGTGGTTTCATAAACCAAAGTTAAAACTTCAATTGTCTGTGCTTCTTTATAAAAAGTAGAAAAGCTTAAATATTCACTCTTCGAAATAGTTCACTATTATTTCTGGCATATAAAAACACCAGTCGGATGTAGTAGCTCATGCCTGTAATCCCAGCACTTTGGGAGTCTGAGGCGGGTGGATAACGTAAGGTCAGGAGTTCAAGATCAGTCTGGCCAACATGGCGAAATCCCATCTCTACTAAAAGTACAAAAATTAGCCAGGCATGGTGGCACACGCCTGTAGTCTCAGCTTCAGGAGGCTGAGGCAGGAGAATCATTTGAACCTGGGAAGTGGAGGTTGCAGTGAGCTGAGATTATGCTACTGCACTCCAGCCTGGGTGACAGAGTGAGACTCCATCTCAAAAAATCAAAAAACAAAACTATAAGGTCTAACCATGCCATGACATCATGGCAACCCCCATGAACCACACATACACTTCTGGAGGGCCTTCTGGAAGATGATGAAAAGAGGAAGAAATGATCAACCCCTGTGGCACTTACTTAACTTTGAGACATTCTCTATTGTTTCTTATTCTGGCCTCAATTGACAAGGCCATTGGACTTTGTGACTTTGTGGTCACAAGTGGTATTGGTACAAAACTACACAAGACCAATGGAACAGAATAGAGAACCCAGAAATAAGACCGCACACCTACAACTGTGTGATCTTTGACAAACCTGATAAAAACAAGCGATGGGGACAGAATAGAGAACCCAGAAATAAGACCGCACATCTAAAACTGTCTGATCTTTGACAAACTTGACAAAAAAAAGCAATAACCTATTCAATAAATGGTGCTAGGAGAACTGGCTGGCCATATACAAAAAATTGAGTCTGGACCCGTACCTTACGCCATATACAAAAATTACCTCAAGATGGATTAAAGACTTAAATATAAAACCCAAAACTATAAACACCCTAGAAGACATCCTAGGTAATACCATTTAGGATATATGCATGGGCAAAGATTTTATGACAAAGACATTAAAAGCAATTGCAACAAAAGTAAAAATTGACAAATGGGATGAATTAAACTAAAGAACTTCTGCACAGCAAAATAAACTATCAAAAGAGTAAACAACCTACAAAATGGGAGAAAACTGTTTACAAACTATGCATCTGACTAGGTCTAATATCCAGCATCTGCAAGGAACTTAAACAAATTTACAAGAAAAAAAAACCAAACAACTCTATTAAAAACTGGGCAAAGGACATGAACACACACTTCTCAAAAGACATACATGTGTCCTATAAGCATATGAACAAAAGCTCAACATCACTAATCATTAGCAAAATGCAAATCAAAACAACAATGAGCTATCATCTCACGCAAGTCAGAATGACTGTTACTAAAAAGTCAAATAATAACAGATACTGGCAAGGTTGTGGAGAAAAAGGGACACTTTTACACTGTTGGTGGGAGTACAAATTAGTTCAACCATTGTGGAAGACAGTGTTGCAATTCCTCAAAGACCTACAGAGAGAAATACCATTCAAACCAGCAATCCCATTACTGGGTATATATCCAAAGGATAAATCATTATATTATAAAGATACATGCACATGTACGTTTATTGCAGCACTATTTACAATAGCAAAGACATAGAATCAACCTAAATGCCCATCAATGACAGACTGAATAAAGAAAATGTGGTACCTATACACCATGGAATACTATGCAGCCACAAAAAAGAATGAAATCATGTTCTTTGCAGGGACATGGATGGAGCTGGATCCCATTATCCTTAGCAAACTAATGCAGGAAGAGAAAACCAAATACCACATGTTCTGATTTAGAAGTGGAAGCCAAATTATGGGAACACGTGAAGGAACAACATACACTGCAGCATATGGAAGGGGAGAGGGTGACAGGAGGGAGAGAAACAGGAAATATAACTAATGTGTACTATGCTTAATACCTGGGTGATGAAATAATCTGTACAACCAACCCTCATGACATATGTTTACCTATGTAACAAACCTGCACATTCTACACATGTACCCCTAAACTTAAAGTTAAAAAAAAGGATTATACACGTTTATTCATTCTTCATTCTGATACTTAGTACTTATAGTCTGTAAGTCCAGAAATAAATTTTGTACTTAATAATTACACATATCCTACTGGGGAAGATTAAATATGGTCATACATTCTTTGTAAATTCTCCTATCAGGAGGTGGGGTCTACTTGCACAATGCTTGCAATTGGGCTGGACGTCTGACTTGATCTGATCAATGGAATGGGGCAATAAGTCACGTTGTGGCAGTTCTGAAGCCTAGGTTTCAAAAGGTTTCCATTTTTCTGTCTTCACTCTTTGGTAAACTTCTATGACTAAGTCAGAAAGGCTGGGCTAGACAATGGAATGATGGGTGACCACTTGGAGAGAAAGGTCTAGTGGAATAGCCAGCACCAAGGTCCCACACATCTGAGTGAGGCTATCTTAGATTCTCCACACCCAACTAAGCTGACATTATTTCAGCCACATGAATGACCCTACTCATGTGGCTGAAATAACAAGACTAGAAGAAGATATTCCCACTCAGAAAGCCCACAGACTTGTGAGAAATAATCACTATCTGTATTAAAGCCACCAAATTTTTATGGTGGTTTTTAATGTAACAATAGAATATAAAAACAACTACTTTCACAGTTAATATTTTGGCATCCTCTTCTTTTTTTTGACTATTTCCAATTTATATTTCACTAGTGATAAGTTTATCTTTTATACTAAGCTTCAGAATAGTTCTAAAGGTAAGCTTCAGGTGTTATATTTAAATATATTAGCATAAAGTCTTAAGAATATGATTATATACGTTAATTTTCAGTATAAGAAACATGCAAATACCTAGTATGGGCCAAGAATATGCCTAGTATGTGCCAGAAATATATATATACACACACACACACACACACACACACAAATATATATTTTAAAAAGCATGACAAATGTGCTTGATGTCACAGACATCAGATATAAAAAACATGGTAGATCAATATATTATGGTTAGTGTTATTGGAGAGGGTATATACTTCTTAAGAAAACTGTTTCAGAAATACTGCATGTATTTATAAACATAAAATGTTCTCTTTACACTTACATTATTTAATAATAATTAAAAACATGATAGAAATTTTTAGCAAAATTATTGTTGGCAAAGAGTAAACAACTCCTCAAAGGGAAAAATGAGGCAATAACAGAGGTAAGAGAGAGTAATTTTAGATAAGCCATCATTCTCTGTATCTACATGGAGTCTAATACTTATCCATTATAATAGGCATTTTTCTTTTCTCTGCAATTTTTTCTGTCTCAATCTTTTTGAGTTTGGCTCCGATTTTGGTTATTTCTTGTCTTCTGCTAGTATTGAGATTTGTTTTTGGTTCTCTAGTTGTTTTACTTGTGATGCTAGATTGTTAACTTGAGATCTTTCTCACTGTTTGATGTGAAGATTTAGTGCTATAAATTTCCCTCTTAACACTGCCTTAACTGTGTTGCACAGATTCTGGTATGTTGTATCTTTGTTCTCACTAGTTTTAAAGAACTTAATTATTTCTGCCTTAATTTCATTATTTACCAGTCATTCAGGAGCAGGTTATTCAATTCCATGTAATTGTACAGTTGTGAGTAAATTTCTGTCTTGATTTCTAATTTGATTGGAGTGTGGTCCTAGCGATTGTTATAATTTCATTTCTTTTGTATTTCCTCAGGAGTGTTTTACTTCTGATGATGTGATCAATTATAGAGTATTTTTCGTGTGACAATAAGAAAAATGTATATTCTGTTCTTTTTGTGTGCAGAGTTCTACAAATATCCATCAGGTCCATTTGATCCATGGCTGCATTCTAGTCCTGCATATCTCTCTTTTTTTCTCTATGATCTATCTAAAATTGTGATTGGGTGTTAAAGATTTCC